TCTTTCTCTGCTGCCAGGCTGCTATGGAGCAATCAACTCTGCTATGCTATGTTCTCCCCACCATGATGTCTAACTTCTCTAGTGGAAACAACACAGCCAAGGGAACACTGACTAAAATGCCTAAAATTGTGACTCAAATAAATAAACATTTTCTCCTTAGGTTTACTCAGACGTTATGTCCAAGGGATAGGAAACTGAATAATACAATAAAACAGATCCTAAAGTTCATGAATAACTCTTTTGTATATCTTCCATCTATAAAATCCCACTCTGCCAGGAGCATCTTCCTGCCCCTGTTGAAGATCAAGTTGATTCAATGCTAATTCAATGGCCACTGTCATCCAGAACAGTAATCCCACCACCAGGGTGCACACATGTTTAAACAAGGACATCTGTATCCTGCAGCCTCCAAGCTATGATCTGATAGGGGCTGAGAAGGAACGAGTTGGCACACACTGCTGTTGACACTGGAGACTTCAAAAGGGCCAGCAGATGTCCTCTATCTCCCTTCACATTTTCTGTGCAGAGAGGAGGCAGCCCCGCAGCACTGTGGAGAAACTGCTGGCACACCAGTACACAGCTGTGTGGGAGGGGGTGGCTGAGTCCACAGTGAGCGAGAACTCCTCCGTGCGTGGTCTGGACACGCTGTACCCATCGGGGATGTCTCCTTTTGCAGTGCTTCTCTCTCCATTTGAGTAATGGAGCAGCCTCAGCCCATGCCCAGGATCTTGTCGATACCAGTACATGTAGGCATGGTTGTCATTCTGGCGACAGCTCAAATTCACCTGTCTTCCTGTCTCTGTGAGCTTGTGTCTTGGACGTTGGGTGATGGCAGCCTCCATGTGTCCTGTAACAGAGAATGACCCAAGTCTGAAGGGGCCTGTCAAGGAGAAGCCAGGGATGCCCTGGGGTGGGAGGCAGTGAGGGGCCCACCTGTAGCCATCCCTCACCTGCCCACAAGAGACAGAAGGCCACGTGCAGCAGCTGGGTGCCCATCTCAGGAGCAGGGCAGAGTTCCATGTCTCCCAGCCTCCTTTGGAGGAAAAAGAAGGTTGCTTCTCAGTGACTCAGTGGCATCACCTCCCCACCAATGCCTGGGCTGCTGCTACCCTGCCACGCCCCTTCCCTGCAGAAACAACTGCTTTCTGTTATGTGCATGCACAGGGTTATGGCATTTATACGAGTAATTTTAGTGCATATACACGATTTAACAGTTCATAGTGAGTGCCAGTTTTAATTTCTTATTAACTGGAACTATCTGTGTTAGTGTTTTCATAATCTTAGGAAGGACATCTGTTCCTCAGGTCATCTTTAAATTCCCTGAAGTTCAAAGTCCCTTTCATTCCACTGTTCCAATTGTTCCTAAGGTTCTGGGAGACTCAGCAGAGCCGCACTGCTGCGCTGGGACTTTCTAAGGCATCTCAGCTCTCAGCACCTATAAGTAGCTTTTTTCAGTATTTTCTATTTACCTTATTGGTAAATGATTACCTGTCAGTCTGAGAAGATATCCCAGCCTTCAAAAGCCACCAGATATCCAGGTATTAACATGTGAAGGTCAGGGTACAGCATCTAGCTTCAGAGTGATTCAGATGACAGCAGCCCTCTGGGCTCAGGTCTCCAGGTGTCCTCATGAGATGAAGTTTCCCTGGTTTCAGTCCAGCCATGGACCCTGGATCACTCATGTCCCCCTTCAGTGCTTTCTGCCCATGGATAAGAAGGCTGATTACTAATAAGAAGGAGATTTTGACCAGCAAAGATAGATGACTGCTGTGTCCAGTATCACACCGACATTCTCTGTCTTCATTCACAGATTCCCATTCACCAAAAGAATACTATGGATGGATCCTATTCTTCTGTGTCATGAAAATGTATCCCTACCCTGTAGCATTCATTGCCTGTTATCATTTTCCAGGTAGGCCATGACCCACTGTGAGCTCTCCATCCTGCGACCACACAAGGGGACTGAATCTTGATGACATTGCTGCCCTCTTGGTGTAGTGAGGAGGAATACAGAATCAGACTAGACACAGCAGGTGGACAGAATCCAATGAGAGCCTAGTGCTCTGGCCTTGGAAGACCCAGCTGGTCCTAGAGCTCAAGAGACAACAACAAAAGAAGCCTGTGGAGCATGGTTGAGCCAAACCATGGAAAGAAAGATTTCTTTTTTGAGCATAGGTACATATACATATAAGTATGTTTAATTATTGCCTTTATGTAAATATAAAAAGGATTTTCCATTTAACAAGACAGTTATGGGGAAATGCTATAGTGATCAACGTCACCTTTTGAAATATTTTCACCTGTGCTTCCCCTACCCACATCATTTCCTTACTCTTTTTATTTTTGTAGGATAAATGTTGGAATCTAGCTGAGACTTGCATTTTTCTTGAGGGGTCAGGTTAAAGGTACAGGGACTATCAAAGTTCCCAGGATCAATTTTAAAATAATGTGTAATCTACCTATTATGATAGGCTTTGAAAGAATAATTTCTTTGGGTATCAGTATCAGCTATAAGTATGTACCTCTCATTTATTTTGAAATTCATTACAGAATTAAAATTTTAGTTTGCTGAAAACATGTATCTCTTCTTCAACTTATCATCAGGCCCATTCTCTGGATAAATGCTATCTGTCCTGAAAGTTGATGGCAGGCATTATCTCAGAACAACCACAATCTATAATGGGACTTACCATTGCTGCTCAGCTGATCTTGCAGTGGACACACACTGCTGTGCTATCTGCTATTTTACAGACCAGAAAACACTATAGAGCCTGAGGAACAATTCAGGTTAGGGGTGGTGAATGTACAATCCGATCCCAGCACTGATCCTTTTAAATATTAAATGTTATGAAATTCCATGAGCTACAGCTTTCCATCCATGAACTGATACCTTAACATCTCACACATATAAAGAGGATACTCTAATGACTGTGTTTGCATTATAATATCCAATGTGCATTAAAGCACAGAGCAGAGACAGTCCAGAGAGTTAGGAGATACAGGGCTCAGAAGTTGTCTGAGCTTGGCAGGATAGAGAAGGGTTACCACAGCTGGAGAAGGCTCCTGGGGTTTGCCAATGCTGGGCCTCAGCCCCCCACCCCTCCCTCAGTGACATCCTCAGCTGGGGCAGGAAGGTTTGGGTAGAGAAAGCCAGTCCCTGTGCAGGGCTGTGCAAGCTGCTGGCACACAGATACAGCGAGGAGTCCCTCAACTCCAACGCACTCATGTTCAGCTCAGAGTGATAGTCACTGAACTGCCGAGCTGAGAAGCGGCCAGGGATGCTTCCTTTCTCTCTCTCTGACTCTCGATAATAGGAAATGAGGTACTGGAGGGTCTTGTCCTCGGCCTGCTGGTACCAGTACACAGTATAATGTCCAGAGTCAGGAGAGCACTGCAGAGTGGCCTTTCCTCCCTTGGCTTTGATCAGGTGTCTGGGGGACTGGAGGACCCCAGCATGCACCACACCTAGGCAGGAAGAGACAGCAATGAAGCCCAGGCCAGGAGGACATAGGATGCTCCAGCAACCAGGCTCTGCCCCACCAGTGCCCCTGACTCACCTGCTCCCAGGAGACAAAGGACAACACCACAGAGGAGCCTGGGGCCTGGGGCCCAGTCCAGGGGAGCAGCCCCAGGCATCATCTCCCTACTGAGGTCACAGGTCTGAGAAAGAGAGAGAAGGGTGTGGGGAGACAGAGACACAGAGAAACACAGAGAGGAAAGCAGTGGGCGGGGGAGGATTCTCAGCTCCTGGGCCAGCACTCCCTCTGTTTATCTAAACACTTCCCTGCCTGGGACCACAAGCCAAGGCTGAACCCACACTCTCCCAGTCAGGCAGCAGCTGGCTCAGTGGGCCCACACTGCCCCCTGGTGATCAGCTGCTCATTACTGGAATGTCACTCTACTCCCTGAGCCAGGAGCTGTCCCCAGGGTCCTCCAGACCCCAGGACAGCCCCAGAAGACTGGAGGATTGTCTCTTGCAATATCAGCTCTTGTCTGTAAACATGAGGGAGGTGTGCCACAGACCTTCTCTTCTAAAATGAGAAGAAAAGGCCTTCCTTCCTTCAGATATTGTGGTAAGCATGGAGAAGCCCAAGAGTGATTACATGCCAGGTGTCATCAGTATGTTGTGACCTAGGCAAGTCATTGTCTTTGATCCCTGGTGATGCCCAGAAGAGAAGCACCATGGATTCCCTCAGTCAACAAGGCTTCTCCATGGCTGCCGCAGCAAATGGAGCAGTCATATGAAGAGGAAGCTGCCTGCTTGTGTATCTTCCATTTGTAAGATCCTAACAACTCTTTTGCTAATTTTTAGGTTAAATCATGTCTTCTTTCTAACTGATTCCTAGAAATTATTTGAAATATGTATATACTTCCCAAATACATTTCCATAAAACAGACATTATAGACATAGCAAATATAAAACGTGTTTTATATATAATAAAATGTATTAATTAATTCTAAAGTGATATGATTTATTCTGAAGCATTGATAGTAATGTCTTGATTTGGGCTATTAGTAGTAATGTGCTACATTTTCCTGTCTCTTTACTTTTCTGTCCTGTTTCTTTATAATTGCAAGATTGAATTTCTTCTAGGAGATATCTTGATTTGTTGCAGTTATTTGTTCTTGTTTTGATTATTTTTTGGGCTGCTGGGGATTGAACCCCAAACCTCACATTCACACAAATGAATGGTCTAGTGGTCTAGATGCAACATCTATGCTATTTAATAAGAACATTAACACTGCTCAGATGTGATTGGACTGTTTATCTGGTGTCTGCATTTTGGTATGCTTTTTCCTTCCATGCCTTTCTTGTTCCTTTCTTAGTTTGGTCAATCTAACCTGTGGGGTAGGGTTATCACTTTCATAATTCCATTGTCTTTTGTGGATTTAACAACTATAACTTGGCATGTGGTGGTGAGAGTGGTAATTCAAAACTTTTACAAGGAAATATAGGAAAGCAAGGTCATTTGGAAATCGTATTGTCTTAAACCGGTATGAAATGTGGATTACCACCTAAAAAAGAATGAAATGGACAGATTTGTTCTTAAGAACTTTTGCTTTTCAAAATATTGAACAGGAAATAGTTATTTATAACATTCATAAATTTGTGCAACTACAATAGGTTAATCAAAAATTATTTTAAATTATTCAAGAGAGTACATATATTAGATTACCATGCTGTAGTATGTACATATATGCAATTAAACTACAAACAGTAAAAATAGACAAGTAAAACTGAAAAAATTATAAATTCTAACAGAGAACTAACTGAAAGGACATTCTTTTTCAATTCATTATAAAAAGTGCGCACGTGCGCGCACACATACACACACACACACACACACACTCCCAACAGGACTGCTTGCTTAGTGCTATTTGATGACTTACCAGTGCCAAGGAGGCCGAGGACCACCCAGCAGAGGAGCCTGATGCTCATGGCAGAAGAAGGTGGAGGAAGAGAAGGAGGAGGAAGAGGAGGAGGAGGAGGATTAGCAGGAGCAGGAGGAGGAGGAGGAGGAGAAAGAGCAAGAGGAAGAGGAGGAGGAGGAGGAGGAAGTCACCCTATCACAGTCTTTTGTAAGTAGCCATGGGAGAGGAGGGCAGCCCTTGTCCCACTGGGAGGTTCTACAGTGACATCACTGAGCCTTGGAGGAACTTGGTAATAATTAAGCCAAAGATGCCAGCAGCCCTGAGATGCACCTTCTATCAGGAGCCAGGAAGAAGGAACAAAAATTACTGTGAGTTAAGATCACAATCAGTAAGAGGAGAAAATGGCAAGGCTTAGAAGCAGAAATCATGGCTCCTCAGAAGTTGATTTCCACACAGCTGATTCAGAGCCAGGTC